GAGAAGGTAGAAGGGGGTATCTGAGGCCAGGCTGCCTGGGGTCCTGCCCAGGGCATGCTGGAATTGGGCTTCCCAGACCCTCACCCCTTCCCTGCCTCCCACAGACATGATCGGTGTACGCTCAGGGGGTGGCCGCCCTGGCTCTGGCCCCCAGCTGGGCACTGGCCGAGGGACCCTCCGGCTCAGATCCCGCGGCCCTGCCACAGTAGAGGATGTGGTGAGTGTTCTAGCCCGGCCCCAGCCCTCCTTCCCTGGGCATCCGTAGGTGGCTGCATTCTTTGTTAGCTGAGGGGCTCTGGGCACTAGATTCAAATCTACCTCCGCCCCGTACCAGCTCTGGGACCTTTGTTGGGTAGGCGGGCCTCAGTTGCCTTGTTTGTAAAGTAAGGGGATAGTAATACTGTCACAGGGTTGTGGTGAGGATGAGCTGTGGGTTAGTACACGTAAAGTGGTGAAAAGAGCATCCCGCGCTTAAGAAGTACAATTACAAACCTATTCACATTATTGTGGTGTTACTGTCCCTCCCCCACCCCCCCAGCCCTCAGCCTTTGAGGAGAAGGCAATTGAGAAGGTGGATGACCTGCTGGAGAGTTACATGGGCATCAGGGACACGGAGCTGGGTGAGTGGGGACGCCTGGATCTGCGGATGGGTGCGAGCCTTGGGGAAGGGGCTTCTGGGTCCTGTGGGGCTGGGTCTGCCCTGAGTACCTCTGCCGTCTGTGCTTCCATTCCGCGCCCCACCCCCCCACCCTTGTCCAGCGGCCACCATGGTGGAGCTTGGAAAGGACAAAAGGAACCCAGATGAGCTAGCCGAGGCCCTGGATGAACGGCTTGGTGACTTTGCCTTCCCTGATGAGTTCGTCTTTGACGTCTGGGGTGCCATTGGGGATGCCAAGGTCGGCCGCTTCTAGGCCCCCTTCCAGACCTCTCCGTGACCTGGCTCTGCTTGGTGGGAGCCCCCAGTGGGAGGGCCACCATGGCCTGGACCCCAGCATCCGGCTTGGACCTTGCTCAGCAGCCCAAGGATGATGCAGAGTGGAGGTGGGGCCGGGCCTCCGCCCCACTCCAATCGGTACCACCCCTCCCCAGCTCCCACCCTGGCTGGGGTCCCCGGTCCCCCCCTTGCCCTGTTCCTCACCTACCTCAGCCGGGTCAGGCGCAGGGGGTTGGGGGGGGGAGGGACCAGCCAGATTGGGTGGCCACCCCCGCCCCCAACACTTTCCGTATCAGCTGCCAAACTGGTCTCTCATCTCCCTGGGGCCTGTTTGGGGGTCGTGACCTCCCTAGTTTCCTGCTGCAGGGAATGCAGAAGGGGGGCATCCCCCCCTCAGCAAATGCAATAATGCCCTCCCCCCCATGCCCCACCCAGAGAGGAGCCCCCTCACCTTGGAGTCTGTTACCTCCGCATTTGAAACACTAGTCTGCTGTGAACCCCAACCTCCCTCCCTCCCCTGCCCTCTGTGTCGCCCACAGCCCAGCCCCAGACAGAAGGGGCAGGAGGGAGGATGGCGGTGGGCTTTTGTATCTGAACTTGCTGTCTTGAACATAAAGAATCTATCTGCTGTTGGACCTGTGTGGCGGCTTCAGCTTTGGGGTGGGAGAAGGGGGTGAGCCAAGGCTGGGAAAGAATGTAGCAGCTGAAATCCATCCTCCTCGGGCTCCAGATTGAATTAGGAGCCTGGCTGGGCCACCCCCCCAACCCGTTCCGCCTGACGAGGTCTCTGGCTGTGGGCCACCAGGCTTCCAGTCAAAGGCCGGAGCTTCCTGGCCCTACTGAGGTTCAAGTCTTGCTCCCTCTCGAACGAGGCCTCCTGCCACCTCAAGCCTGATGTGAACAGTGGGCGCCAAGCTGTTGTAGCCCAGGGCCACAGGGGACACCACCAGGGCCCAGAGATGCGGAAGCCTGGCTTGGGAAAAGAAAGATGGGGGGCCCAGTCATGGAACACTACATCACAAACTAATGATGTCATGTATGGTGATTAACATAACAATAAAAAAAATTTAAAGGAAAAAAAAAAAAGGATGGGGGGGCCCAAGATGGAGGCCTGCCAGGGCAAATGCCGTGGGGAGGGGCCCTGCCCCCGAGCCTGAGGGGAGCGGTCATGATGTGGCCCCCGTGCTTGCTGGCTCTGGATGCGTGGGGTCTGCTGGCGTCCATGGCGCACTGTGGTTTGCACTGGACGTAAACCCAGCGTGCTTGTTTTGACAACCCACTTTATCCTCAAGGATTGAGTGGGGATCAGCGAAGGGGGGCTGGGACCCTGGCCAGACCTGGAGGGAAGGGCAGGAATTGAAGCAAGGGGAGCCAGGCCAGAGGTCCCTGCAGGAATGTCTGAGGTCAGCCCGCTCCCCGTTTTCATCGCTCCTTTCAACGGGAGGGCTCTGGGCCTGCCTGGGAGAGGGGAGCTGGGGGCACTGGCGGGGCGTGGGGTGGGTGCGCAGCCCGTGGTTGTGTTCTTGGGGTGGGATGGAAACAGCTGTTGTTGGGGTCCCTCTCAACATCCCTGGGCACCCACAGGTGCCTGCAGTGTCTGTGCTGATAAACCACTCAGGTCGCGAAGGGGTGCGGCCGTGTGTCTCAGTGCTGAGACAGTAAGACTGTGTCTATCAGAGTGTTGGTGGTTTTTGACTCCGTTGAGGGAACAGGAGGTAATGACTGTCTTTGTGTTCCAAGGTGTTTGTGGGTGTAACTGGCAGCACCTCTGTGTGGCGTGTGGACATGTAAGTGCAGCTCGGGGGGTGTCCAAGGCTGTGAGTGTGAGTGCCTCTGGGTGTTTTGTTTGTGGGCTACGTGTTGACCAGCTAGGTCTCAAGATGTCCAGGAGGTGCGACTCCTTGTGCCTTGGGTGTATGGAGTACACTCGCGGGGCCTGTCTTGGACTGTTAGGGGGTGTCTGTGGGTGCTACGGTGTGTGGCTGGTGGGCTGTCTCAGAGGTAGGGATTATGTGTGTGTCTCGGGACTAGGTGAGACCGGATCTCCCAGTGCTTTCTCAGGGGGATGCATTTCGGCGTGTTGAGAGAAGTTAAAGCCAGTAACAATGGGGGCACCTCTGAGGGTCCTGGAGGTGACAGTCACAGTGCATCCAGGGGTATGATAAAGGCTGACCCTAAAGCTTTGAGGAGCGTGGCTGCTGCTGTGCTGGGGACAGACTGACGGCATCTGGTCTTAGGGTGTTAAGCGGCACGATGGTGTGTGTCTTAGAAGGTGAGACTGTGTGCGTGTGCCCCTGCTTCTCAGGGCAGGACGTGAGGCTGCAGTTGTGTGTCCACAGGTGGCTGGGGACTTGTGTGTCTCAAGAGAGAGACCCCTGGTCACCAGACCTCTTGGTTCCCCTGCCCCCCTTCAGCCTCCTCCCCTGCCCCTCCCAGGGTATGACTGGCTGCCAGCCCTGGCCTGAGCTTTAAGCCCCTGTGTAAATAATGGGCGGGTCTCCTGGCCAGGCTGGGCCCGACCCAAGCTGGTCCACATGAGGGGCACTGCCCACCACCACCCCTGACCCAACATCCATGAAGGCTTTGGCAGGGCAAGAGGGTGTTGCTGCCCCCAAGCAGGGTTAGCCCCCGAAGCTCGCAGTCCCCATGGGGGCAGTGGCACCCCCTGCAGCCGCCCCAGCCTGCCCTGGGCGATGTTCACATTTTCCAGTGTTTAGATTTTATCCACTTTATTAATGAGGCAGGCGAAAAGGCCCGCGCCTGGGGGGGGCGGGGGAAGAGGGCTACTCCCGCCCCGCCAGGGGGAGGGGGTCATGGGGAACCAGGCCAAATCCCTGGGAGTCCCCTTACTGGTGGGGCAGCTGGGGTCCAGTGTAGCCCCTGCCCATTGCCAGGAGCACAGAGGGGTCTCTGCCACGCCAGGCCCCCTCTGGGCGCGAGATGGCTGGAGCGGCCCCTGGAGGCCGGAGCGGGCAGCGGGAGGAGGCAGGGAGCTGAGGAGCCGCCCCAGGAGGGAGGGAGAGGGAGCGGCCTGGCCTGCGGGAGAGCTCTGGTGGAGCGGGCGCGGGTGCAACAGGCAGCGGGGGCCAAGCAGCAGGCGATGGGGACCTGGAGTCCCAAGCTGTGTGGGTAAGAAGAGACTGGGGCATGAGGATCTCTGGTGGGGGAGGAGCGTCTGGAAGGATGGGGCCGTGGCTCGTTCAGTCTCTCTGTCCTGTGTTCTTGACTCTCGGCCCCATCTGTCTGTCCCTGTCAGTCTTACTGTCTATCTGCCTTTCCCCTGTGGCCAGCGGGCAGTCCTGCCGTCTCTGCCCTCACCTCCAGGTTAGCAAGGGATGGGTGGTGCTGGGTCTGCCTTGAGACCTTTGGGGCAGGGACCTGGAGCTGGCAGGAATGGGAGCCAGGGGGCATCCATGGTAAGGCAGCTGTGGTCAGGGGAGAGCCAGGGTGAGACAGTGACAGAACTCAGAGATGGGAGTGTGGGGGGCAGGGACGGTGGGGACACAGATGTAGCCGTGGGGAGAAGGACAGTGCAGTGGAGAGAGAGGTGCCCGTGGTGGCACAGGTGGGCTGTGAGCATCAAACACGGGACTGAAGAAAAGGTGACATGTGATGGTCAGAGATGGAGCAGTGAGGTCAGGTGGGGCCCTGCGGATCAGAAATGGGTCAGGGGGTGTCAGATGGAGCCAGGGGCGAGAAATTCGCTGTGCTGCAATAATGAGAGGTGGGTGTCAGAGGTAGATCCGTGACGCCCAGAGGTGGGGACAGACACGGAAGGCCGGAGCCCGGGGGAACCAAGGTGGACAGAGAAGGTGGTGAGGGCAAGAATGAGGCCCGGAGCAGGAGCTGATGGGCTGATGAGGCAGAGGAGGAGAAAGGGGTTGGGAAGGGGTCATTTGGAGTTGCCGTGGGCAGGGGCGACATTAGAATGCCATGGCATCCAACGGGGCCTGATGATCCGAGGTGAGGCTGCCTGCTAGTCCCATGGGGAGAGTGGGCAGTGTGCTCCTGGCCGGCCTCACGGAGCCCTCCTCTCCTCTCCCCAGCCCCAACCCCAGCACCTGACATGAGTCTCTGCGGGCCCCTCAACCTGAGCCTGGCGGGCGAGGCGACCACGTGCGCGGAGCCCGGGGCTCCCAACGCGTCGGCCGGGCCGCCTCCCGGCCGGGCGGCCGCATCGCCGGCGCTGCCCATCTTCTCCATGACCCTGGGCTCCGTGTCCAACGTGCTGGCGCTGGCGCTGCTGGCGCAGGCCGCGGGCCGCCTGCGGCGCCGCCGCTCGGCCGCCACCTTCCTGCTGTTCGTCGCCAGCCTTCTGGCCACTGACCTGGCGGGCCACGTCATCCCGGGGGCGCTGGTGCTGCGCCTGTACGCGGCGGGCCGCCCGCCGGCCGGCGGCGCCTGCCACTTCCTGGGCGGCTGCATGGTCTTCTTCGGCCTGTGCCCGCTGCTGCTGGGCTGCGGCATGGCCGTGGAGCGCTGCGTGGGCGTCACGCGGCCGCTGCTGCACGCGGCACGCGTCTCGACGGCCCGCGCGCGCCTGGCGCTGGCCGCGCTGGCCGCCGTGCCTTTGGCGGTGGCGCTGCTGCCGCTGGCGCGCGTGGGCCGCTACGAGCTGCAGTACCCGGGCACGTGGTGCTTCATCGGCCTGGGCCCGGCGGGCGGCTGGCGCCAGGCGCTGCTCGCCGGCCTCTTCGCCGGCCTCGGTCTGGCCGCGCTGCTCGCCGCGCTCGTCTGCAACACGCTCAGCGGCCTGGCCTTGCTGCGCGCCCGCTGGCGCCGCCGCTCCCGACGGCGTCCTTCGGCGAGCGGCCCCGACGGCCGCCGTCGCTGGGGGGCGCGCGCGCCCCGCTCGGCCTCAGCTTCGTCCTCCTCGTCCGTCGCTTCGGTCCCCGGCGGCTCCCCGGGCCGTGGCTCAGCGCGCAGAGCCCGCGCTCACGATGTGGAGATGGTGGGCCAGCTCGTGGGCATCATGGTGGTGTCGTGCATCTGCTGGAGCCCGCTGCTGGTGAGGGGCGCACACGCCCCTCGGGCCAGGCCCCTCCCCCCGTGAGATACCTGGCTCCCTCCCTTCCCCAGCCGGGGCCCCACCCCCTCGAAGCCCCCCCAGTCAGGAGAGACAGCCCTTTGGCCTCTCCCTCTGACATCCCATCCCCTCCAACCCCGTCCCCTTCTCTTACTCCTACCTGGGGTCTTTGTAGTTCACGCTCCCCAGGCAACCTTCCCCCCAGCCCCACTCCTCTAGGCCCGGATGCTTCATTCCCTAGCCCCTTCCACCACCACCCCGCCCCGTTTCTCTTCTTCCCTTTGGTCCCCAGTCCTTCAGGATACCTGGGACTTCTCTCCTTTGTTGCTGGAGCCCCCACTCACGGAAGGCCTTTGCTTCTGCCCCGCCTTCTTCGCCCCTCCTTCCGTAGTTCTTCTGACGAAGACTTCTGTCCCGTTCGTCCTCCCCCCCCCCGCCCCGCCCCGCCCCGAGCCTCTGCTCCTCCTCACAGCTCCCTTGCCTTCCGGGCACGCTCGCATCCATCCCAGCCCCACCCTTGGCCAGTCCCCTTCTCTTTACACCCGCCCCACCGCTCACACCGGCTTCTCCCGCAGGTGTTAGTGGTGCTGGCCGTCGGGGGCTGGGGCTCCAGCTCCCTGCAGCGGCCGCTGTTTTTGGCTGTGCGCCTCGCTTCATGGAACCAGATCCTGGACCCCTGGGTGTACATCCTGCTGCGCCAGGCGGTGCTGCGCCAACTGCTTCCCCTCCTGCCCCCGAGGGCCGACGCCAAGGGCAGCCCTGCGGGGCTGCGCCTAACCAGGAGCGCCTGGGAGGCCAGCTCGCTGCGCAGCTCCAGGCACAGTAGCCTCAGCCACCTGTAGGCGAGCCAGGAGTCCCAGCGGCTAAGTCAGACCACCCGGGCCGGGCCCAGGACCGCAGCGCCGAGCCTTCAGGGAATAAAGCCATTTTGCGGACCTGCGCAGGGCATGTGTGGGGTCGGGGCTGCAGCACGCCTGTGGCCGCGCGGGGGCGATAACGGTGCCGCCTGAGCCTACGGGGTGTGCAGTTCTGGGACCTTCCACGCAGAGGCGCGGGGAGGCCAGACACGGAGCTGGAGCCGCTGGAGCATGCGCAGAATGCCACGGCCCCAGCCCCAGCCCCAGCTCCCGAGTGGTGTCGAGAGCAGAGCAGCTGAGCCAGAATCCGAGGCGCTTTTTGTTCCTACCGCCTGCCAGGGCTGACCCTAGCAACAATTCTCTCATTGTGGCCCTGAGCTCCTCCAACACATCCCCCAGGCCCTACCCCCAAACCACACCCCAGCAGGGCCTCAAAACTCGTGTCCCTAAACACAACTCCCAGCCCTGTCCCATCTCAGCCCGCCCACGCTCCCCACCCTAGTAAGAGCCCGGAGTCCCCACCTTCCCTTAACCCTCATCAAGTGACCCCCATACTAGAACCCAGGGCATCTCCCCGTCACTCCTTATGCCCCCGGCCACCCACTGGATCTGCCCCCACCAACTCTCCCCACTTCCAAGTACACAACCCCACCCCCACCCCCCCATATCACCATCACTGCACACAAGAGGAGCCGCAGGATGCATGGATGGGGCAAACCGCAAAGGCCTTCTTAAAAACTACTGAGAGCCTGGTCAGGGCAGGGGCAGGGGAGAGGGCTAGCAGCCCGCGGCCACGAAGTCGAAGTCCTGGAAGGCTGCCTGCTCTGTGGCCGTGAGGGGCCGCGCGTCGCGGGGCGGGCTCAGCGTGGGGGCCTCCCCTGTGAACTCCTCGTCGAAGTTGCTGACATCAGTGCGGCCTGACAGCGTGGGCACGAAGGGAGGTGGCAAGCGCCGGGCCAGCAGAGTGTCCCAGCCCAGTGTCTAAGTAGGGGAGAAGGGGGAGAGAGGGGAAGGGGTCAGCATGGGGGGCGGTGCAGACTGCGGGAGGGGCCAACCCCGTGTGACCCGTCCAGCCCTGCATCTGTGGCGATTAGCGTAGGAGTCACAACACAGAGGGGTCAAGTGGGGGACTGGGGGCCCAGGAAGGATGACAGTGTGAGTATGGGGAGCCCTGGGGTGGGGGAGAGGGAGCCTGGGTTCATACGCATGGCAGTGGGCCCACCAGACCAGCCTGGAGTAGATGTGGGGGTAGGAGGGTCAGTGGGTGTGAAGGAGCGGGGAGGGAATAGAGATGATAATGTTGGAGGGGAAGTGACTAGATCTTGGTAGGGGAGAAATGCATAGGCCCTGGGGGTCGGGGGGGATGACCAGGTCTCTGGTGGGGAGTTGGCCATGCACTTGGGGTGACCTCACCCTATAGAAGGGCTGCTTTTTCACATCCTCTGCATCCCTCTCGCTGGATCCCAACCTCCGCTCTGGATTCCTTCGCAGCAGCTGGGGGGGGGGAGAGGTGTCAGTCTTGCCCTTCCTGGCCCCAGAGCCCCTCCCCAGACCCAAGCAGGGGGTGCTCCTCACCCTGCGCATGATGCCAATGGCTTCAGCTGACAGGAACCGTGGGTAGCGAACCTCGTCATTGACTATGCTGTCAAACACCTCCTCCTCGTCGTCCCCTGGGAATGGGGACTGGGGACAGGGAGAGCCAGGATGAAGGAGGCCCCTCCTCTGGCCACTCCCCTCCCAGCCCCACCTGAGCCCTCTGCTCCCAGCACACCTTCACCTGGGTGCTGGCTGATGTGGGAAGGTAAGTACCCCATTTTACAGATGCGAACATTGAGGCTAGGGAGGCAAAGCCAGCTGTCCCCATCACACAGCACATGGAGGCACCGTCTGATCCCACCCCTAGGCACAAGCAGTTTCCAGCATGATCCCAGGGTCAGGCAGGGTAAGAGCAGTCTGGGGCCTCACCTCGCCAACCAGCATCTCATAGAGCAGCACGCCCAGCCCCCACCAGTCCACGGCCCGCGTGTAAGATGTGTCTGTCAGCACCTCGGGGGCCAGGAACTCCGGGGTCCCACAGAATGTGCTGGTCCGGTCCCCAAAGCCCATCCCTGGGGGCAGTAGGGCCATGTGAGGTTATGGGGGGGGGCTCCCAGCCCAGCATGGGGTGGCCCAGACAGCCAGCCCCATCCCAGGGTCAGGGTCGGGGGTAACCCAGGTAGGGCTGGGGACTCCATTCCCTCCCCCACTCTGTCTAATCCCCAGAGGCCAGCCCTTCAAATCCCAGCCCCGCCCCTCACCCTCCTTGCAGAGGCCAAAGTCTGCGATCTTGACATAGCCCTCGGTGTCCAGGAGCAAATTGTCCAACTTCAGGTCCCTGTGATGGGTTGGGGGGATGTAAAGAGGGATGAGGGGGGGGTCTGGGCCCTGCCTGAAGCCTGAGGGCCCCCAGTGGGCAGCGCGTGCATACAGGAGCACATACACCCAAGGGCACATACCTGTAGACGATCTTGTGTTCGTGGAGAAACTGCAACCCCAGCACCACACAGGCTGAATAAAAGCTGCAGAGAGAAACTGGTGTGATGGAGCCAGGCCTCCCAGCAAGGAAGGCAGGCCACGGAAGCCTGGCTCCCACATCCTCGAAAGCTCCCCAGTCCCCCACAAAACTCCAGGAGGCTTGGGGGGAGGGAGAAACGGGGGCCGAAGGGGGCTGCCACCGCCTGTTGGGGGTTGAGGCGCGGGCGGGGGAGCTCACACGGCGCGCGGCTCCGAGAACACGTCACTGTGGATGTGCAGCATGAGATCCCCACCCGCCGAGTACTCCATCACGAAGCACACGTGCTCTGGCGTCTGGAAACAGCCGAACAGGTTCACCAGGAAGGGGTGTCCTGCTCTGGTCACTGCTGCCAAGATCCGCTTCTCACACATCAGGCTGGGCAGGGTAGGGGGCGGGGGTCAGAGATCACAGCAGCCCCCCACCCCCACCCCCACCCTCAACTCCCACACTCCCAAGAAGTCCTTGATCATCAGCTGTTTGCTGAGGACCTCGAGTGGGTGGGCAACCTTGGGCAAGTTGCTTAATATTTCTGAACCCCAGTAGCTTTGTCTGCTAAACAGGTACCCAGAAGCCAACTGTCATCCTAGTAACAGCCCCCCAATATCCCTTTAGGGACCAGCCAGGGTGGGCTAATTGGAGCACCCATTTTCCTGGCCAGGAACTGGTTTGGGAATGGGCAAGCCAAGGTAGTGGGGCTCAATCTCAGGGTTTCTGCTGGAATTATTAAGAAGAAGGGCTAAAACTAGTGGATGAGCCTTACACTGCTGTGTAGGGGGTTATCTCTGCCCCCATGAGAGAACTGCAAGCAAAGCCCACAAAGAGGACAGCCAACTGAGAGACGTCATAAATTCCTCTTTTGCTTAAGCCTATCTGAGTTGGGTTCCTGATTGACAAAAGGATGTCAGGAAGATTAGGGACAATCTCGGTGCCTCTGCTGGGCCTTTTTACAGGGGGCCAGGTACTGTAGAATGCTCTAGATGCATCCTCTCACTTAATCCACCTGACAACCCTGCAAGAAAGGCATTATTACTCCCCTTTTACAGACGGTGAGGACAAGGATCAGAAGGGCAAAGTGACTTCCCCAAGGTCTCTAAGCACATTTGTGGCAGGGGTGGGATTTGAACCCACGGCCCAGCCCTGACCCAAAGCAGAGGCAGGGCAATGGTGCCATTAAAGGTACAGGCTTCAGAGCCTGAGTCCCTAGGTTTGAATCCCTGACCTGCTGCTTACTGGCTTTGTGACTCTGGTCAACTTGCTCAACCTTTCTGTGTCATCAGCAGAATGGGAACAATAACGATATTTACCTCATATGGCTGTCGTGGAGAACAAATGAGTTACTGAACATGAAGCGCATAGTGGGTGCTTTCCAAGTTATTATCTTAAGTACTAGCTTAATAAGTGCCAGTGACTATTATGAATCACTGTCACAGCAGCTCCAGAGAGGGGACCGCCCTATCTCCCATTTCCCAGAACAAAAGACTGAGGTTCTCAGAGGGCCTGGGCTGGGTCCCCACCTTTCAACCTCGTCTCGGGCCACAATGTCGCCTTTCTTCAAAGCCTTGATGGCGAACAGCTCCCCGTTGGGCCGGAATTCGGAGAGCAGCACCTGGAACCACAGTGGGCAACGATGGCCTTCGTGGCCAGCCCGGGGACTCCCTGTTCCCCCAACTCCTTGCCCCCTGGCCTCACCTTCCCAAAGTGACCCCGGCCCAGCACTGCCAGGAATTTGAAATCCTCGAGGGTCAGAGGTGACTTCCTCAGAGGGCTGTGGAGAGAGGGCACTGATGGGCACAAGGACAGCAGGTGGGGGGAGGGGTGGTGAGCGGGGGAGGGGTGTCACCTGCACAGGGCGGGGCCTGGGGTCTCCTGGGTCTCTGAAGGCAGCTCCGGGGTGGTAGCCGTTTCCTGGATCGGGGAACTCTGCAGCAGAGAAAGGGAAGTCAGAGGCACCCCATAACCACAACAGCCACCCAGGCTCCCGTCACCTCTCTGACCTCACTTCTCCTCCCACTCTGCGCCCTCTTGCTCACAGCCACACTGTGCCCCTCACTGTGCCCTGAACACACCAGGCATGACTCCAGCCCAGGAGCCCAGGCATTCTCTTTTCCCGACATTGGCATGGCTCCTCCCCTACCCCCTTCGGCATGCGTGCGGATGTCACCTTCACGGGTGGTCAGCTGACCATCACAGTAAATAACTAGCAGGAAACCCCCCACCACCACCGACCGTACACACACATACTCCCTGTCCCGTTTTGCTTTTTTTTTTTTTCCATGCTGTAAATACATTTTATCATTCACCTCCATATTTCCTTTATGGGTATTTGCCCTCAGAGCTACTTAACGCTTCATACCACATATGTGCTTGTAATTCTGAGGAGTCAAAATTACTATTGCAAATGGGGACATAGGACAACTGGTTCATCATCCTC